CAGGTTACAGCCCTGATGACCCTGGAGTATTAGGCCCTGCTTTATTTAGGTTTTCTATATCTACTCCCTCTTTGGACATTATTTCATAACTCAGCGTTTTACTTTTTCATCAAGCACCTTAGAATGCTGGATCCAAGTTGTGCTTTTATGACTGAAGGCACTTTTTCAAAGAGAAAGTGTATTTCTGTTGTTGTATTTCTGTTGCCTCAGATTAAATTCATTTTTGGAATGTGTGCAGAAGATTTTATTGCAGCATCTATGAGACTGCCTTGGAACTGAGGCTCTGCTATACTAAATGTTACCAGTGCACTATAACTAGGAGCCTTGGATGTGGTGCTGGAAGCCACCAGTTTCCAGCTGTTGCCTTCCACTGGTATTCCACTTGTGGTTCTGCTAGTGATAGACTGTCCCAGTCTGCATCATGATGGGGGTCCAGGGCTCTAGAAATGTTGGGTCTGAGGAGATCCTGTCTCTCCCTGAGCTGCACAAGTTGCTGACTTCTGTAACTCCTCTGCTTAGCAACACAGCACCTGCAGGTAAGGTCCAGGAGAGGCCTCAGGTACTCTCTCTGATCCGACAAACTCTGACACAGGCCTTTCCCTAGCACCAGCTAAAGGGTGGGAGCATCACCCTCTCCCCCAAGCCAGGGGCAGCTGCAACAAAGGCTCCGGGTACCCTGCGTCAAGGGCTCCTGACCACACCCGCTAGAAGCTGCCAGAGCTGCCCCAGGCTCACAGCCCTGGCAGCAGCAGGTACCCTAAAGTTTCTTGGAGGGTTTCCAGCCTCCCTTCTACCACGTTCTAAGGGCCTCATTTAAAGTACAGGCAGCCATCACCCCTCCTGGTAGTTCAGACCTTCTTCACTGTTGCATTCCCAGATTTTCAGCTCTTTGCTTACTTGTATTGGCTTTTCCTGACACTGTCTGTCAGAATGTGATTGTATTTCTATACTGCAATTTGAACTATTGCTTTGTATTAAGGATAAAGCAATAAGCATGGAAAAAGTAGCAGCTGTTTGGCCTAAAGGAAAACATAAAATGAGCACTACAACCAATATTTTAGACTACATCAGAAATACCCCGCCCAGGATTTTGTGCCTGTCAAAAGTAAGTTGCAATTATGCATAAATATTATTGAGCTGTGAAAGATTCAGTTAACATGTAGCTTGTAATGGCTGATTTTTTCAGCCCCTCATATTTATATGAATACCCGATTAAAAGTTTTAGAGAGGCAGTAAGAGCATGCAAGAGAACATGTGTCTGTGCTAGCAAGGTTCCTGAGATGGCCAAGAACAATTCTCCTTAAAAGGCCATCTTGCTGAAATGACAAGCTTTTACATGTCCTGAACCTCAGAGCACTGGAAATTAAATTTGTGATCACAGGAGCCTGTAACATCTATTTTTGCAGCTGCATAATACAGAGGGAAATATGGCTCTGCACTGCATCCATTTCATGAGGCATGGTTGGACACTGCAAATGGCTGAACTGTTTATGCTTCAGGATTGTCCAAATTAATGAAAAAAAACTGTGGCAGAATATTCACTCTTGTTTGCCAGATATGAAAATACCACTCTGAACAAACTTTTCAAGAACTGTCTTAATAGAGAAACTGGTAGCAGATGAACCAGATGCTCTGCAGAGAAATTTTCATTTAACTGCTAATGTTGATGATTTGTGGAAGAAACTCTGGAGAAAGAAAAAAAATACAACAAACCAACAAAAAGGGGAAAAAGCTTTCTACTGAATTATAAGTATACACTGGCAAAATAGAGGATTTGAAAGTATTGTGCCAAGGCTCCTAACATCAACATTTTAGCATATTTGATTCGTTTTTGTCTGGAAAAACTTCCACTCACAGTAGAATAATCAACAACTGGTTTTGAATATGGAAAAGATATTTTTGCTGAGAATGTTGCTGCCAAAAACTACTTCAGTTGAAAGCCATGGCTTCACTGCAGAGAAACTGAGGTTTACTAATAAATATTGAAATAGATTGTAACAGCTGGTTAGCTGAGAAAAATGCAATAATTACGTAAAATTGTCTCATTTGTTAACTGTAATGAGAAGTGACTGATGAGGTTGGAGTTGATGCATGCAAGGGTTAGAAACCATGCTGAAAAGCCTCCAAACAGATAAAACCTCTGAATAATTTTTTTTCTGCTGCATTTTAATTTTAAAAGCTATAAAAATACATGGAGTGATTTTCTGGCTCTGCAGTAAGCGATCTGTGGTGTTCTTTTAATTGTAGATTGTAATTAATCTATTACAGAATTAATCATGACGTGCTTATATTTTAAGACATCTTAAGACACCAAAAATTTTTTTCAGCCATAGTACTTACTGAACTGAAATCATGCCTATTTTATGCCACTTTCAAATAGAAATTAGAGCATAGTAAATAAAGCATTAGCGTTTATCTTCACAGAGTTTTATACTCAGGTATGTTTTCAAATTTCACAGTTATAAAGGTTCTACTGTATTTTTATGCTACGAAGCAAACTTTTTGTCCTGCTCCTACAAACACTGGCTGGGAAGGAGAGGAGGTTCTTCCAAGTGAAATCTAGATTTTTCTGTTCAACTCCTTTTAATAATCTTGTTCAGATAAGGTTTTTTGAGGTTTAAAAACATCTTCCCCTTACGTAGAATGACATGCTGTGTCTCCTAGCAGGATAAGCTCACACCAAAGAAAAAAGATCCTTTCTTCCCTCCAGAAATAGTGGGCACCTATCCAAACAGTTGCAATGGCATGTCCTGCCAGAAAAACATCAAGTATAAGATTTCTCAGCAGACATTCAACTTAATTGAAAAAATAAATAAATTAAAATCTGAATTTTTACATCATCTTTTCCTTTCCCTACACATACATAGTCACAGATTCTAATTTTAAAAATATATCAAAAAACTTACAGTTTATCTACTGATATGTAGACTTTCATACAGCTGAAAACGGGATTTTCTGAAAAATTAAATGCTTCTATAAGTGGTGTTATGTGGAAAACAGATATTAGATTTTATAAATGACTGAAGAAATGCTGCCGTGAAACAGTAATTGGATGTAGAATCTGTTCTCAGATTAAGATTCTCAAATTTTACCCACTTTAGTGCATTTTTCCAGTCTCCAAATGGTAGTGATGCTCTTCCTCTGTTAATGTGTGCTTGTAGATTCAGAGATAAAAATACTGTCTGAGGTTGACAGCTGAGTCTCTCATTTTACTTTGAGGTAAGTTTAAAAATAATTGTAAGTTGAGAAAAGCTACTCCATTTTTGAATTAAGCAATTTTATAGGGAGAAGAATTTAATTGTAACTCATATACCTGCTAATACAACTCTTTTAACAGATACTGCTATGTTCAACATAACAATACTAATTTTTTTTTCATGTGTTTGCCATAAAACAGATAAAAAGCAGATGTAGAAATCTCACAGTTTACCAATGCCAGTTTGTACTGTTGACTGCCATCAGAGCCAGGAGGTTTGAAAGGATTTCAGCTACTTACATTGACTATGTATAGTTCATCTGTTAATTTCAATATAAGGAGGATTTTAAGATTTCTAGATCAACTGTCATTTGGGGAAAATAGTTACTCCATGAGAAAAAATTATCTGGGAAAAATATTTTTATAATTTTTTCTAGGTAGGTATATAAATTTGGTCTTATATTTTGTGAAAAATAGTTCTTTTAAAATGCATTTTGTATAATTTTTCAGCTGTGGTGGATTGGGGGTTACTTCGCAGCATTAAGAGTTCTTTTTCTGTAAGATATTTTCTCAGTTCTACACAGCAGTCTTCTTGAAAAAAACCCAAAAATTATACTAAGGTGTATACAAAACAGATAGCAGCTACCTGATAAATCTGAATGGTATAACAATGGAAAGGAGGTGAAAGCAACTTCTAGCATTTCGGAAGCGCTGTAGATCTGCTGGAGTTTAGAATAAAAGCTACTGTCTATGAAATGCTACGTTAACATTTTTCAATTTGTCTGTATTTGAAAGTTAGTTCAAGTTTAAACTGAGGTGTGAGTCTGAATTGCATTAGATATTTCAAAAATCCTACTTTCACATGCAGTTTTATTGTAGAAAAAAATGTGTTGAAATAACTATAGGTAAAACACATACTCTTGATTTCAGATTTCATGTTAACTGTCTGCTCTGGCTACTAACAGTTCATACTATCAGAACTGAGAATTTGGCCATGAGCAGAACTTGGCAAGCATCTGTGCATGAAATTACACATGGAGTAAAATTCTTGACTGATTATGAGAGGCAGAAGAATATCCCAACCTGGAACATGTGTTTGGGCAAAACTGAAGAAAATAGGAGTATTATCAGCAGTCAATTTGAACAGTCAGTCTACTGTGAGTAGTAGGAGGAGACTGGCATTTGAAGATTATTCTTCTTGATTAATTCACAAGAGAAGGAACATTCATGTTGTAAAAGAAATACTCGTTTCCTGTGTTCTGCATCACTAATCTATGCAAAATACTGGAATTTTGGTTGTATGATGGGGCAGGTGGTGTAAAGTTACTGTGTATGGAAGTAAAACTTACATAGCACAGGCTATACAAATATACTGGCTTTTAGCGGCATTCTCATACTGCTTCTGAAAGAGCAAAGAAAAATGTTTTATGGGATGTCATGGGACAAAGTCACAAAAGCCTTGCTAAGGTGAAGATAAACAGTACTAGCTGCTCTACCCTCATTTGTGGAGCCAGTCATTTCACTGCAGAAGGCTACCAGCAGGTAGCACAATTTCCTCTTTGTAAATCCATCCTCACAACTCCTGGTCTCCTTCTTGTCCTTTAACATGTTTGAAAATGGCTGGTTGGAGGATTTGCTCCATCACTTTCCCAGGGATTGAAGTGCCTGGCCTATAGTTTTACCAGTGCTCCTTCTTGCCCATCTGAAATCTAGACGTGACGTTCACCTCCCCAAACACTATGACCTTTCAAAGATAATTAGTGGTGGTCTCACAGTAACATTCACTGGATTTCTCAACACTCACAGGAACATCCCATCAGGTCCAGCGGTTTTCCATGTGAACAATTCCTTTAACCTGATTCTCCTTGGCCATGGGGACCTCTTCCTTGCTTCAGACTTTCTCAGTATAAGTGGTAGAGGCTAGAAAAGATTGAATTTTGTCAAACCTCTAAAAGGGGGGACTGATGCCTGTGGATTTTTGGATTTTTAGCTTTTTGTAGATTTTATAAGTAGCTGTATTATATCCCTCAGCCTTTAGCACAGTAGTTTACACATTTTCGCAATACTTTTACCCCATTCCATATCACTCCCTCAAAATTCTATTAGCTTGCTTAGACTTCCCCCAAGGTAGGCCTTCATTCTGTTTAAGAACATCTGCACACTGGCCTGGACAACAAGATATCACACAGGCACAGCGACCATCAAACCCAGGAGTTTGGAGGGACTCCAAGGACTATATGTGCTGTGATGGAGAGGAGGTTGAGGAAGAGGAGGTCCAGAGCTCCCTGCCTCAATTTCTAGAGGAGCGTGCTGGGGGGAGGACAAATCTGGGATTGGATGGGTTAACACCTTAAATTGTGGGACCCCCTGGACACAAGAGGCGCGTCAATATGTATTCCTGTGGGCCTCAGGCCTGGAATTAAAGGACCTACTCTCTTTATCTTATACACTAAGTTGGCTCGGAGTCCTGTTTTCTGCGGTCTCTTAAGGCAACAAAATCCTAGGACTTTGGATTTCCACAGGCAAATTTTACCCATACTGCAGTATTAGTTAAATCTGAAGTTAAATTTTACTTCTCATAAATTACTTAAACTTAGAACTATTTTATTTTTATCAAATAATTGTTAGCTCTTTTTGAAATCTTTAAGGTTCCATTTAAAGAAGGCTAAAGAAAGCTTTCTAATGCTTATGTCTGTATTTTACCTCATATGATTTCCATTCTCTACCCATGGAAGTGCAGCAAGTTCCACACAGGTGTCTACCTCTATCAGACCACCGTCTGCTCTAAAGGTGACTTCTTGTAAGGAAAAAGACTTATCTCGTGATCATCTAAAACAGCTTTTACTGTAACTTCCTTCTAAATTGCCAATATTTTTCTGCTGGTACTTGCAATTAACATTTCCTAGTAAATGCTTTTTAATCCTGGTGGGAAAATCATGAAATACTTAGACAAAAGGTTAGTAGTTGCTCTTATTTAAAGACTTCACCATTTTACATTTGGGGACTGACAAGTACAAAATTTAAACAGTGTTTTGCTTGTTTTGCTTTCAAAAAGCAGACCAGGAGCTCAGAATTTCATATGTAGTATTAAGGGCTTTACCTGAAGGATGGTATCTCAGACAGTTATGACATCACAGAGCTTTTCTTTGTGAATTTTAGAGCTAATTGTTACTGAGAGATGCAAAGAGAAAGCATAACAATATTCAAAGCAGTAGTTACTTCTCTACCTCTGCTAACCATCTTTAAAAGAGGTGAGTTAGTGAAAACGTAAGGAAACTATACAGAATAATCATACCAGAGTTTGACTTTGCACAATATATAACAAAAGATCTGGAATTCTCCAGTTAAACGTTTCTCAACTTGGGCTAATTAGAAGCTACCAGAATGGCTGAAAGGATTTAACTTAGATTTTAAATCTTTTAAAATCTTTTAAAATGTTTGAATATGGATTTAATTTAGAAGAAGAATATGAGTGCACCAATTATCATTTTGAAATAAGTCCTACCTTAAATATATTCACAGGCATTTTTACATAAAATAAATCTGAATAAAGGAAGCAATACCCAGATTTATCTATGGACATTCTGTAACAACAGACCTACTTGCTCAGGGAACCATCACAAATTTGCAGTACTTTTTTAGCCCAGATAACCTCAAAAACACTTCAGTCCCTTCTGAGTTCAGGTTCGGGTTTTGGAAAGGCTTACAAACTGTCTGAAACCTTAAACTTTTCAGTGCCAAGATGCACAGCTCTGTACCACGTAGGAAAGATAACAGTTTGATCCTTCAGAGTGCTCACAGACACACAAAGTGCTCAGTCTCATTTTCTCCAGCCAATTTAATTTTTCACGAGAACTTCAACTACAACTCCAGGTAAAGTCAATTTAGGTGGGATAGATTTGCAGTCAAGATATAACAGAAGCATTAGCAACCCATCTATTACAGCCCGTTCCTGTTTAGACACAGGGTGTCTCAAGGTTTTATTCCCTAGGGGGATTAAACTGTCTTTCATTGAACTTGGCCACCAAAAGAGCATTTAAATGGGAAATTGGCCCGGACGGTGGTCATAGCGGCCCTAGCCGCTGGCAGGCACTCCCTGAGAGGACCGCGATACCCACGGGGTCTCCGGCACCACCCCTGGCCCGGCGCGCAGCGGCCGCCGTGCGCGCGCAAGAGCTCGCGGCAGGGGCGGCCTCTCGCAGCCCGCGCCCCTTCCTGGGCGGGGCCCGCGGCCCGCTCCGGCCCCGCCCTGCCCACCGTGGCCCAGCCGGCTCCGTGGGAAGCGGCTCCTCGGGAAGCGAGGGCTCTTCCCGCCCCGTGCGAGCCGGAGGCCCCGCCGGCAGGGGCCGCCCTCCGCCCGGGGCGCTCCTCCGGAAGCAACCGAGTGTGCCTCTAGAGGGCCCGTCCACACGCGGAGCCGCTCCGGCCGACGGCGCGCGCCCCTCTCGGTGGGCGGGTCCCGCCCCCGGGTGCGCGCGGAGCGGCCAGGGAAGCGCCGCCATGATGAACAGCGGCGGGATCGGGGTCCCGCTGGGCTTCCCCCTGGGCCCCACGTCCGTCATCCAGGTCACCAACCTCTCCTCGGCCGTGACCAGCGAGCAGATGCGGACTCTCTTCGGCTTCCTGGGAGATATAGAGGAGCTGCGCCTCTATCCCCCGGAGTAAGTGGGGTCCGCGCCGGCCTCCGCAGGGACGGAGACTCGGGAGGAGAAGGAAGCGCGGAGGGGCCAGGGGGCAGCGGGGAGAGCAGAAGCAGAAGACCCGGCCCGCCATCTTGAGTGCGGGCACGGACAGGTGTCACGTGCCCCCGCCTTTGTATGGCCGGGCCGGCGGGGAAGGAGCTGCGCCCGCACTTAAGATGGCGGCGCCAGGCCTTTTCCCTTTTGGAAACCCACTTTACCTGGCACTCTTTTCCTCGCTCAGGCTGTGTGCAGGGCATCTGGGCCAGGGAGCCCTCAGCCCGCCCCCGCCCACCTGCCTTTTCCCTTTTTTTCCCCCTTCTGTTAAAAGGGCTCTGCTCCGAGGTGGGGGTGGTCGAACAGAAGCCAGAATAGCTGAGGTTCCGCAGATGGACGGAACCTTCCCTGCCTTGTGCCCCGAGTTCCTCCCCATAAGATTTGTGCAGTAAGTTAATCACGGGCGTCTCACGTTTCCCTAGACTGTAGCGGTTCGCGAGGGATGCGCTGAGGTGAGAGATGCTGAGGCTCGCAGTATAACAGTGTTGCTTCTTCCGAGTAGGTGGTAGTCAGCAGGAAAAGGGAGGAAAAGAAATGGTGGGTTTTTTAGGCAGCAGTTGTACTGGGAAGTGAATCACAGACATGCCCTTTCAAACTGTGTATTTTCTTGCAAAAATTAAATAGCAGAAAGGAGAGGAAGTCATTTGCATCTAGATACTTGAATTTTAATAAAAAGAAGATGTAAAGACTGACCAAATTTAGATTTACAAAGCTGAATAGCCAGAACGTTGGTGTTTATCAATGCTTATCTAGGTACATTTCATCTGAGTATGTTTGAATGCCAGCCATTCAGAAAAATTAACTATTTAATATGTAAATAGTATGTAATATGCCTAAAGCAGCCTTATTGATTTTTAGACACTTTATTAGATATATGGTGGATTTTATACAGTTTTCTAGGGCTTTACCTTGGAGATGTTCCACAACTGATTCTTTATACTTTGAGTTTTCTCCTGACTGATTTTTTTTTTTGTTTAGTTACAGCTGTTGGTCTTATCTTTCACTAGGTTATATAAGAGATTTTAAGGCAAATAGGTATTTTTTTGACATTCATATATAAATAATATTTGTACTGATGTGTATGGTTGTGCCAGAGTGCGTATATACACATAAAATAATAAAATCCAGTACCATAGTAGGATTTAGCTTGGGAATGTCAGGGTTATAATGCTATAAAATTTGATTCTTCATTATGAATTCAGTTTTCAGAGACAGGATGTGGGATTGTAATTACATCTTTTACTCTTGGTTTTATTTACAGTTTTTATGCATAACTGTTAGAAATATAGATTTCCTTGCCTGATTGGTAGGGACGTTTGACCTGACTTTCAAATTAGTACCTTGAGAGAAAATTAATTATTTGCTCTAATGCCCTTTTTTTGTTTCAAAAAAAGAGGTGCCTCCTGTTAGCATTGTGATAAATTTAGGAAATAATGTTTCATTGACAAGTGGTTGGGGAGCAAAGCTGTCCCAAGCAAAAAGTTTTATTGATTCCTTTCGGTTTGCAGTACAGTTGAAATGTGAAGCTGTTTTACAGTGTGTGACAGGTCTTTTGCCTTGGGTATGTTCTCCAGTATGCCAGCCACTCGAACAGCCTGGTGGTTTTTTTCAGCCTGTGAGGAGATCTGTGATGCCTGTAATCTGATTCCTAGTCCCACCTGTGCTTTTGTGATACATTTGTCACCCAGCTGAAGTCTGTGTTTCAGACTAGCCTTCAAAATCACATTTATATGGATAAGCCTTCAAGTAAGAGGATTTTTCAGCAGTTAAATGTTGAACAACTTTATCGAGCAACAGTTGGGTTTTTGCAGAATGAGTTATTTGAAAGCAGGAAGGTGCAGACTCTCTCCATTAGATGTGCAAAGTCCTGCTGTGAACACTGTTTGCTTCTGCATAGTCTGGAGTGGACTTGGAAGCTAGAACACTCAAGTGTTTCAAAACAAACTTTTGTTTTAACCAAAAGTTGGACAACGGGCTAGTTGGTCGTAACCCTTCCCTAGTCAAGCGCAAGACTGGATTGGCCTCTGTGTTCTGCTACCAGGAAGCTCCACTCTGGTTGCAACCCAGCAGGTGTTGAGAGGTGGAGACATGTCGTACCAGACCTTGGCGATAGGCTTTGGGGCCTCTTCTAGTTCAGAGCCTAATGGTGTTCTCTGTCCATGAATCCTAGTAGCTGAGCAAAGCCTGGTTTAGCTTTGAGGGGTGCCACCAGACTGAGTCACTCTCACTTGTGCCTTACAGGTGGATAGGCCATCTTCACTTAACTCAGGAAAGGGACATAGATTTGTCACCTGTATGGTCCAATCAGTAGACATTGTTAACTCATGCAGGTAACAATGAAGTTACCTCAAAGATGAGGCCTTTGAGGCAAAACACACACAACCTCTGCATAATTATTCCATAGCATTCTGTTTTAATAAGTTATTAATTTCTGTTGTCTCCTCCACACACCATCCACCCTGGAGAAAATTTGGACAGTTTTATAGCCTTTTCTTTGATTTTTTTTTTTTTTTTTACTGTAACTTTCTGAATAGGTCATTCTTAGAAAATATTTCAATTGATTGTTGTTGGGAGATGCAATGTTGCTATCTCCCTACAAAGGAAAAGAAAAATGTCAGAAATGTCTGAGTACTATTTAGGTATTTATTTCCTTTTTGAGTTTTTTTTGTTTTCCTGAAGAAACTGGATTTTAGTAACCTTCAGTCAGAGATGTAGAAATTACTTTTTGGCATCAATGCTGCTTAACCCTAGGAAGAAGACTATGGCTCTCCTTAAGTTCAGCCTCAGAAAAGGTTAGCAGAAAAAAGGCAACAAAAGGAATTAAAACAGAATAGGACTTTTCCGTTTTAGGAAAGACTTCTTAAGAAGTCTACTAGGGAGATTTCAGAGGCTCGCTTCCTAAAAGGGACTCAATCACTGTGAAACCTTCTAGAGTTTTAGTTCTTTTGGATCTTAATAGTTTCCCTTGATGTCATCATCATGGCTGGGCTTCGCGAACAAAGATTTGGGAAGGCTCTATCCACATTTGTTACAGGCACGCTGGTGGCTTAAGAGGCCAATACGTGACAGACATATCCAATTGCAGAAAGCACAACAGAAAGACTCCTTAGATGGTGTATTCTGCAAGACACAGTTCTTTCTGCGTTGCCTTTTCTCCTCGAGAGTGATCCTGCATGTGTTCTCAAAGGAGACAGCTGCGTTATAGATGGTGTGTCTCCAGGCCTCCCGATTTGAGGCCAGAGTAGACCAGTTATGGTGATCAATATGGCCAAGGCTGAGATGTTGTTTCAGGGAGTCCTTGTATCTTTTCTTTGGGGCTCCTCTCTTGCGGCAGCCAGTGGCAAGTTCACCATAAAGCAAGATCTTAGGGAGGCAGTGGTCCTTCATCCTGGAGACGTGCCCTGCCCAGTGCAGCTGTGTTCTCAGCAACATGGCCTCAATACTTGTGACTGCTGCTTGTTCTAGAACAGATGTATTGGTCACATAATCTGACCAGTGGATGTTTAGGATTGTACAGAGACAGCGTTGATGGAAGCGTTCTAGGAGTCACAGGTGGTGGCAGTAGATGACCCATGATTAGGAACCATACAGGAGAGTAGACAGCACAATGGCTCTGTAAACACTGATCTTGATGCTTTTCTTCAAGTGTCTATTCCACCAAACTCTTTTATGGAGTTTTCCAAAAGCACTGTGTGCCTTTGCTAACCTGTTGTCTATCTCTCCTTCAATCTTACCATCTGAGGAGATGAGGCTACCTAGGTAATTAAACTGTTGGACTGATTTGAGCTCTGATTGGCCAATGGTGATACGGGGATGATGGGGGACTTCCTGAGGTGCAGGTTGATGGAGGACCTCTGTCCTTGATGTAGATGCATCATTAATATGTTTTTAGCAGAGATGGTCTCCTTATAGAGAATTTCTCCTTCTTAACCTTCAGAAAAGACTTGGTACCAAGACTTCTTTGTAGAGCCTCATTTGCAGTAGTGTTCGCATATTAATATTTTTTAACATAGTTTGCAGATAGCTTTTGTGATTTAAATCCAAGTGAAACAGGAGGGCGAGTGTTACAAAAAAAACACTTGTCAGAGCTGGCTCTGTACATATTGAAATTTATAAAGATTATTATGGGGCCTGAAACTGCCTGGAGCAGAATTAGGTTCTTGAGTTGGCAATGAATATAAAAATGTAGAAGAACCTGGGAGACATCAGAAGTCTTAAGCTCTGCCAGGGGAAGTTTAGGTTGGATATTAGGAAGAAATTTTTTACAGAGGGAGTAATCAGACATTGGAATAGGCTGCCCAGGGAGGTGATGGATTCACCATCCCTGGAGGTTTTTAAAATGAGACTGGATGTGGCACTTAGTAACCATGGTCTAGTAACCATGGCGGTGTTAGATCAGGGGT